GGTGTCGCTCCCGCCCCTCGCTCAGCCAGTGAGCGGCCGGTCTGTATGTGGGATCCGAACCCTCGGCGGGAGCGCCACCACACTTCTCAAGCGGCGCACTATAGCAGTGCGCCACCGGGCCGGCCCAACAACACCAATATATTTTGAGCATCAATAAACCATGATAACATTTCACATTCCTCTGCAGAGTCTAGTCCTCAATTAAGTATTTCTTAATTGATTTCTGATAGTAATATTATGCTTATGCTTAGCCAGTCACACTACTTTAGAATAAGTTTGATATAGTCTCAGACTATAAAGACTTGTGATGAGCTTTAACTATACAGTTACCTTTGCAACCAAGATTAAATAATTACAAGGGAGACATTATAATATGTAGCAACTACATAATTTAACAATGTAAATTCAGAGCAACCATAAAAAATGAGAAGAAAATATTTTTTAAAACATTTAAAAAAACATTTTAAAAAATTTAATTGTTTCAGTAACAACCGATGTGGTAATATTAAAGTAATTGTTTTAATTGTAATGTTGAAACAGAGTAAGGCTAGGCCTTTGAAGCAAACTGACTCCATTTACTCTGCAGAGGACACTGTTACTTTTCCACTCCTCAGTCATGAGACCCCCAGGGCAAATGATTACAGCCAGCTGTGATAAAAGAGACTGAGATAAGAGAAGAAACAGATATTCACCTAGTTGCAAAACCCCTCCCCAAGGCTTGTTTACTGTAACTGTAAAAATTAGGTTACAGATTAACCTAATTTTAAGACCCTTTTAGGAATTCCTGCGTGGCACAAAGCTTCAAGGTGACTGCTACAATGACCTTCCTGGGGTGACAATGATGAACACCACCGCCATCTTGGACCTACTGAGCATGCACCCATGATGCAACCAGGAAGATCAGAATGGACCACCTCCAGTGACGCTGGCCTGTACCTCTTTACTCTGTCCCCTATAAAAGACCCTGAACAGCTCCCATTGGGGGGCTAGCTTTACTGTAGCTACCCTCCTTATACATAAGTCTATCTCCTCTTTTATCTGCCTCTTTTGCGTTACTGCTGGGTACATGACTTTGGAATCCAAGAACCTAATTTAATCAGTGGTGAAAACTGGAAAGCTTTTGGGCACGAGAGAAGACTCCAGCTGCAAGAGGCAAGTGGCCACTGGGACTATTTTGCTCCCATGTCTCTGCTGCTGGTAAGTCTCTCCTGGAGTCCCCGGCCTAGATTTTGACAAGGCAATATTTTATTCTCTTCTACTCTCCTTTTTCTCCCCCTTTTCTTCCTCTTTAAAAGTAACTGCGGGACAACTACAGCTTAAACTCCTCTCAACCTGTGAGAAGCATGACCTCTGGTGGGCATGTCCACAGAGTGACTAGCAGGTAACTAGCAGAGGTGGGAAGGCCAGTCCTATACCATGAAGATCTTGCTTGAGCAGGCTCCCTGACAGGGAATTCATGAGAGTGAAGGGGATTCACTCCTACGCCACGCAGTGACTGGAAGTTCAGAAGCCACTAAAATTCTCTTTTCTCTGATTTTTTGAGCTCTTTCCTGCTGTTTTGGTTGGACTGTATCCGCTACTACATAGTTGCACCTTGGAGGGCTTCTGGCTATGCTTTTTTTCTCTGATTTAAATCTAGTCAGTACTTTTCTTCTTTGTGCCAACAACAGTGGGGACAATTGCTTTTATCAATTACTGTGTCAGTGAAATAGGTTGGCCCTGCAGATTGGGACTAGGATAAACTGGACCCTACTGCTCCTCTTTTCTCTTTGTTTGGTTAGACATTTAGTTGAGTACAGGTAATCTGAATAAAACTTCCAATCCTCGCACCAACTTTCGGACTTTCAAGTCATTTGTTTAGTGTGAGGGCAAGCCGAGCCTGGTCTGCTGGTAACAATGTGGGATAAAGCAAATGAATAATTATGGGATATGTGAATTCCAGAAACCCTTGAGTTCTCTAAGAAACAAAATACTCTGTGTATCTCAATATAGATATGTACAAACAAATATAGATCCTACTCTGTACACTTAGAAACAATGAACAATCAACCCAGTAGAAATAAGAATCCTTAGCACACAAACCGAGATTCTAAAATATCATTTTCCATGAAAGGAAATCAGCAATTCTTGGAGAAATGGCTGACTGTTTAATCTACAAGTTCATATTCATTATCTTGAAAATGAGATAGGGTGACCCCCACTTTCATAACATATGCAATTCACTTCTGTGAAACTGCTTGCTGTGTGACAAGGTAGACTGATTAAGTTTAAATAGTGTTTGAATTGCTTAAAAAATGTTGTTTGAAAATCCCCCTCAGCTCTTTAGCCCCCTTGATAGAAGTTAAAAGCTAAATATTAGCCTGCACTTAGAGAAGTTTGAATTCTGTTTGCTGTTCCCTACACAAACTGCCTCTAAGTGATTAACTGGCTTGTTTCAGCTTCCATTACCAGCTTCCGCTGGGCCTCCCCAAACCCCCTCCTCATGCCAGGAGGGGATGTGTGTCTGTGTGATTATATGATAACTAAAAGTGTGTGACTATTTGATAATTTTAACTGTGTGACTAATGTAAAAATGTGCCTTTTAAAAAACCTCTAAACTTCAAGTCAGGGCTACTCTCTTCTGAGACTTTCTTGGAGAGACAGTCGCTGGCCAATAAAGACCCCCCTTTAAATTCTCAATTGGATATTCTGGTTCCTTTTCCGTGTGGCAGCCTCACAACATTTGGAGGCCCCAGTGAGTTTTCCTGTTGCTCACTTAAAGGAATCAGAAAAACCAATGCTCCAGATGAGGAGCAACGCAATGAGCCTCTCTGGGGGGGCTCCCCTTCCGGGGTCAGGGCTACTCTCGCTGTGGATTAAATTTTTCAATTGGCATTGGGGTTTCTGTTGACTTATTGCTTTGTGTCCTGGCCAGTATTCTGTGTTGTGGACCTCTGGAGGTAAGCTTAGTAGGCTTGTGTGAGAGATAGGCTTGGTAAGCTTGGTAGGCTTAAAAGCTTACGTGAGAGGTAAGCTTTGTAAGCTTTTGAGATCTCACGTGGTGTGGTAACAGAGCTCTGATGTAGGACTGTGTGGAAGGCTGGACGCGGCATGAACTTTTCAAGTCCAGGGACC